AGGAATGCCAAAATAACGGTTAAAGGCGATGATATCTTCATTTCTTTTAAATGCTCTTGTTTAATATTTTCTATAAGGAATTCCAATAGACAAAGAAAAATTAGACTTTATATTGCTCAAAGTTTTTTAATTTCAGATAGCGAATAATATTTATAATGTATATATCTATATTATTATCTGTGTGTTAAAAAATGTTTAATATTTCTTGTGCATAAACTGAAAAAATTAGAACTGTATAATATTGGCGCAATGATGATTTTATTAGCAAACTGTTAAGAAAGTGTACTAGAAAGGCAAAGTACCTAAACTATGTATTTCTGAACTCTAGAGTTTCAAACATATGCGTGATGTATAATTGTTATATTAAGTACTAATGTTTATAGATATATTCATATACATATATATATAATATATGTTATATTGGCTAATTTTCTGGTTATAAGTTGTATGAATAAATATATTTACAACATAGGAAAGAGGTATTTTACACACGCAAAGTAATTTGTGATATTAAGACTGTTCACCAAGGTGCAGCAAGAACACTTTTGCTTAATTGCAAATGGTTATGAAAATTGTTACTGCAATATAAAAAATGTATGCTTGATATAAGCATTATGATTTTTGTTAATGGACAGTTGCAGAATTTTATACAGGTCGAAAAAAATACAGGTAGCTGTTGTAATTCACAAGTTCTGAGAGTAGACAAGAAAGTTATATAAGAAGTGGGAACACAAATATATAACATTAGCTGATTAGATTGGAAATTAATACAGACAAAAAGTTAAGGATATTACTGTAATTTATCTTATTTTATAATAACAACGTATTGTTTTTCTATATTCAACAGCTTGAGATATTGTCTTGGAATATTTTTCTCTAATGCAAATAATTTATATAGATAATTTTTTTTAGACAAGTATTGCTTAGAAGATACTTATTTGAGTGTCAGAATGCTACATGTATTTGTTTTACCTGCTGCGTAAATGCGATAACTTTTGTATAGTAAGATCCATCAAGTGAGATATCAATAATAAGTGAACGAAAAAAATCTGTAATGTGTTTATAAGTCCATTTAAATGGCGAATTGGTACTATATACACAATTTAATAATTTGCTAATTACCAATGTAGATCTTTATGATTATATCTTGCCTCGCTTATCGAAAATTATATAGAGAGAAAACTTTCTATCACAATGTAAATTCTTACATTAAGCCATTTTAAAATATGTGTTACGGGCTTTGTTATTTCAATTTTCAACAATATAGCGATTGTGAAAGGCTATACACATTCCGGTTCTTTTAATGTAAAATTGTACACCGCGATTTCTAGTATAAGTGTCCCCAAATCATCCAACAAACCAATGTATAAGAAATAATTCAGTTATATTGATATAATAAGATAAATTCTGATTTCATTATAGTTTGAATCTTTCCATTTAATGTAATTAATATATTATATATTAATGCTGTTTTAAAACTTATTGCAGATTTTCAAATTGAACATTATTGAACAAATATATATATTTTATTTATATTTGGTTATACAGTTTACATACACTAGACAGTATTATAACACGACTTTCAATATGAATGTGTTATATGAAACTCGTACGTGCTAAAATTTAAAAAATAAATATATCTGGCAAATTGTACTTGTGAAATTCTGTTGTATAACTGCATGTATATACTGAATTCTTTAGACTGAATTATATCGTACTACATCGATATTTGTAAGTTTTATCTTATACAAAACATAAGCAATGTTTTATTATACAAAATTTGTATGTCGAATATTATATGATTATATATTTATTACCGATTAATATTTTACCGATATAAATTACCGGTTGCTACATCGAAAAAGTATCATATTGCACATAGTCACATTTTTCCACCACTGTGTAGTCAGACTTGTCACAATCATCAGTCACATTTGTTTATAAGATCTTTCCGTTTTATTATTATTACCGTTAGAGATAAGAGCATGTTTCCTTAGTATGTTAATGGATGTAGTAGATTGGGTATAAAAGAAAGAAATCTTTGAAGAAGAAAATTCTCTTAAAACTTACGTTTATCGCGTGGGGATCAAATACGCATCAGAATCAGAAATCAGGACTCATATAATACCATATGTGAATGTACATATCGATAGTTTTCACAAACAGTTGGAGGAAGGAGGATATTCCACTTATGCGCACTTTAAATACACATTAGTTATGATATAATGAAACGTAGATTATAACTACATTATATGGATAAATATCTCGTATTTGCATTACAAATATCTGCCAATTTGATTCCCCGAGCAGCAGAATAGCTATAAGGGAGAAGAGGAAACAGATGATGTACTGGACTTAGGAGTCACGGACGCGCTCGACGACTTAGATGGCGAAGACGAGAATATAGAGTTTAGTAGAGGCAATACTGATAAACATAGCGATAACGATTTCTATAAAGATGGAGAACATCCGATACAGCCTACATCGTCGTATTATGAGCAAGACGAGGGTGCCGAGCAATACGCGAATGAACAGGCATCGCGTCAGTCCGGCAAAAATTTGGAGTCCAATAACGTTAATGTTTCTAATAATATTGGCAAGGGCGATCTGCGCGAGAAGCTCCAAAGAAACATGCAGAAGACTGTTTACATCGGCAACGGGCAAGGAATGGAGGACGACGACTGCGAGGAGGCGAAGGAGAGGCGTAACAGATTTCAAAACGAGCGTACGATGATTTCTCCAAAGATGAACAATGATATCCCGGAAACCTTAGAGAGTGTCGTCACGTCGGAACCATCCAGAGCGCCGTTCAGAGGAAGAGGACGAGGCCGTGGAGTAAGAGGAAGCAGAGGAGGACGATTTAACGTACAAAACACTGGAAACTTCAATCCGAGGTAACAATGTGATCTTAATAATAAATGATACAATTATATGGATAATAACGGTAATATTAATATAATAATCTTAATAATTGAATAAATAAAAATAAAACAATGTTATTTACATTATTTTTATTTGGATGTTTCAACTAGTAGATATACATTTTATGAAATATCTTATTTACAGGTTTGGTACGGCACGGCCCGCTAATTTTGATAATCAGCCGCCTGCTTGTAGACCGCCACTAATAGAGACCAGACCGCCGTGTCTCCTTGGCATACCAAGTAACGTACCAAATCAGCAGCAGATAATGTACCAACAACAAGCTAATCCACAACAGCCCTTTCAACAGTCCTTCGGCCCAAACGGTCCGTTGCAAGGGCCGCCAGCACAATTTGCGGAGAATAGGCCGCAATTCAGTCCCGGACAATTCCAGGGATCGATGGGGCCGCGTCCGATCAGCAGCCAGAGGCTGCCCGAGTACGGACTTAGGAGTCCCTTGGCGGGAGGATCCATGCAAGGACCGAGCTATAATTGTCCGCCCAACCAGCAGCCGCCGTATCATCCGCCAATGCAGCCGCCACCGTTTCCAAATCCGGGCGGCGTCATGCAAGAAAATCGACCGGGTGTACAGGGCAATCAAGGAGGACCCCTGTTACAAGGAAATCCGGGAGGAGGATCACTTCTCGGTAACCCAAACTGCCTGTTGTTACCTGGAAATCCACCCAATATGTTGCTACCCAGTGGAGGGAATCTGCCAGTGTCTATGGGCCAGGGATTCCCGCGCCAGCAGCAAGCGCTGCCAAGCGCCTCTCAAGGTCCGCCCATACAAAATCTGCCGCCGAACGTGCAGATGTCTAGTCAGCCGCCGCCCTTCGAGAACAGACTGCCGCCGCCACAGTTTCAAGAGCACCAGTTTGAAGGCCGGAACGCATACGATGCAAGAGTCGGTTTTCATCCTTCCGATCAAGTACCCAATAGCCAATTTAATAATACGATGCAACCGGTACCGCAACAGTCGGCGTCTAATATATCACACAGTGTGTCTTTACCTCCAGGGCACAAGATTCTAATCAATCCTCATTTTAGAGGCACCGTTCAACCCGCGAACGATAGTAAGTGTCTCTAACATTTATATCGAATGTACCTAAATAATTAATACTTATGCTAAAAAATTTTTCTCCTGTGATAATTGCGCACAGCTCGACTCGTTTGGGATTCTAATCAACAACAAGCCCAACCACAAGTTACTCACAGTGGACAGTTTTCACAACCGCCATCATCGTATCAAAATCAAGGACCTTATAATCAGGCCCAACAAGGTTCATCGCAATATCAACTAAACTATCAGCAGAATAAAAGTGATGTAAGTAATTGCATAATACATAAAAGCAAAAAGTGGATAAACTTGTAAATCATCACTATTCGCATCATAGGATCCATACGCATATTTTTCCGATGTGTGGCAAGAAAATAGACCACAGAAGCTTCAGAATAGCCCGAATAAGCATTATCCCTCGGATAACAATTATTCCCGAGAGAGCAGCTACAGTGATGGTAATAAATATAAATTGAATAGCCAATGGGAGCAAAAGGATAGCTATCAAGAGGTAAATGTTATGTGTAATTCGAAAGTGACGTTTATATTAGATTTTTTGTATCGCACGTTCAATCGTTTTATTTTCTTTATATTAGGATTATAGAGGATCTCACCAAAATTATCGAGAAAGAGATTTGCCGCTACGAGCAAGAAACGATCATACGCAGAGGAGCAGAACGCCATCAAATACGTATCGCGGCGACTCTTACGATCAAGTCCACAATCTGAAATTTTCTAGACCGGCGAACATTGCATCTCGTGGAGCGAATAGACCGCCGCAGAAGAGGCTATCTGAGTCTTCGGACAAAGGACCGCGGGAAGTAAGTCCAAAACGAAATAAGCCGTCTAATAGAAATCTTCAAGAGGTGCGAAGAGTGGATACAGCAAGTGAAACAGTCGCTGAAAAGGTTAGTTTCTCATTCTACAAAGAATTGGCTATGCCCAATCACGATAGAATCTAAATACATTACAAAGCTATGATTCCAGGAGGAAGATAATGATCCGGAGATGCAGGAATACCGTAAGAAAATGGAAGAGCAGAAACGTCTTCGGGAGAAGATATTACGTGAGAAGGAGAACAGACGTAAGATGGCTGCAATGGAGAAACAAAATGAAGATGTCAAGATCGATTCAAACGCTGCAGGTAAATTGATTTGTTGTACAAGCACACTGTTATATCTTTCTTATCGATTACAACGATATGATCAAAATATTTTAGTGACTGAAAGCACGCAGCAAGAAATAAAACCTGCGTCAGCATTAATGGGGATTGTAAAGGACGGTGTTAAAACTCGCCCTGGTGTTGCTAAAGGACGCGGTCGTCCTACCAATATACAGAACACAGAGGTACAACATTAAATGTATCACTATATTATATTCCTCAGTTGTGATTAAATTCTTGATGACAAGATGTATATACATTTCTGCATTTATAAAGAGAAACTTTATAACAAAATTTTATTCTGGCATTTGTATGATTCATTTATAAGTAACAGGGATATGATTCAGTGATAATATTTTTTAATGAAATTTATATAATACTTATTATGCACAAATAGTTACAAAATGTTATATAATTGTATGTAAATATACTTACATACATATAAAAATTGGGTATAGACCAGTATACTTAGACTGAACAAATTATTTTCTCTTCAGAATCAGCAGTTTTGTTGTACTGCATGTTTGTTAATTAGAAAATGTCATTTTTTATAAACATACATATACATTTTATCACTAATTATATAGATTTTTAAATGAGATATCACTTAATTACACGTACAATTTTTTTTTAAAGTTACTGTGTACATTTTTCTTATGTTCCAATAAAATATACTTTTTCAATAAATTTTGTTTTTTTTTCTCATTTTTCCTCCAGATTAAACATATCTTAACAGACTTTAAAAAATTCAAAATTTGCAAACTTTTTAATTAAAGCAAATTGTTTAGGAAAGACATGTATATTGTTAATATAGTTTAATCAGAGTTTGTGTTTTACACTATTATTGTTATTTTGGTGAAATAACTAATTTCCACAATAGTAGTTAAATCAATATACAATAATTTATCTAAAATAACGTACTTTTTGTTGTAGGCAGCAGACAGACCATCTAATATGCGAATTGTCAGAACGATACCAACTATACAAACTAACGATTTGTCAGATACAATCGGTTCGAAAGATAACAACTCCGGATACGCAACTAATCAAGCCGGCGATATTGTACAAATGAGACAAGTGATACAACAATCTGGCATGCGAAGAGTCGTGATACAAAAGCCTCTGTTAAATTCGCAAAAGATCATTGCTACCACGATACAAAAAACTGTCTCCAATCTGCAGAAGAATCAGGGATTACAACAGAAAGTAGTTCCGAACACACAAGTTATGCAAACGCAGAAAATCGTACAGAATCAGGTCAATGCATTACAAAAATCTGGAATTGTTGGACCGAAAACCACAAATATTGGCCAGAGAATGATAACACATAAAACACCTGGTACCCTACAGAAAACTGTAATCAACGATAGCGCCAATGTTCACGGCCAAAAAGTCATGAATACGCAACAAAATCCCCAGCGAATTGTATTGCAAAAGTCTGCAGTTCAAGCGAAAAAGTTACCCGAGATAAAGACGAACACAGTTAAATTAGAGAATTTGGCTGCAAGCACTTCTGAGGCCCAAATCAGACGTATGTGTCAAACCATCGGAACTATTGAGGTGACTATATTTACATGAGAATGTTTCACCATGAGAATGTTTCACACTTGTTTTTATCAATTATTATTGACACGCTTATTACATTTATTACACATGTTTTATGCATTTTCTTTACTTTTAAGTTTATGGAGAATGTTTAGATTTAGGATTATAGATTCCAAAGCATAGCTATTTACTTTCTGCATGTGCTTTATATAAATTCCTCTATAAGAAACACATTTTATTTGGACAAATATGCGCATAGAAGATAACAAACGTATTTCTTTATAGACAACTTATAATTACAAAGTATTATAGCAAAGTCTTAGAGGCTTGTGTTTGATATATTATGTCGATTATTCTTTAGCTATTAACTTAGATAGCTACAACGATTTCATTCCAAAGATATTATAATTAGAAATAAGCAGTATCTTAAAAAAAAAAACTTCTATGATAAACATTCCTTGCATACAAGTATATTATATACATAATCCTATTGTTTTACATTGAATTATTAGAACGACGATTTTATAATGTTGATTTGTTTTAGATACATTGCATGCATGTAATGTGATGACTATTATTTAATAGTTGACCAGATATGTTCATTACATACAAACTAGAGAATAATTAAAAAACAAATTTTTTTTATAATGTTACAGTATAATCACAGATTATTTGATAACTGATATATATTTATTTTTGGTTTATATAATTTTCCCAATATTATTTTTTTTTCTTCACAAGATGTAATTGAGTAACACACACACACACACATATTTTAAAAGTGTGATGAAATCTGTAAACTTTACATCGCAGTACGAGTTTGAGAGACAACTATTGTAATAAAACCAATCAAGAATTCTGCAATACTTGAAATTTTTAATGACTTCATGGCATTTCCTTATTTTGTTCCTCTCGAAAATGTATGCAGTATACAAACAAACATGTTAAAGAAACTCGTTAATTTTCTTTGAAAATTATTACATTTTTTATTGCTTATACATAGACACTCGCTTTTATGTTTATTTTAAATATACTTGACAATCTAATAACAGTATATTCTCTATTCTTCGTGTTATAGAGCATACGTATGGGCGAGGGTAATGCGACCATTGTGTTTAAGACACAATCTGCCGCCATGGTGTTTCACAAGAAATACCAGCGTAAAATGCTCGATCTATCGCTGATAACCGTTCGCCTTGTGCCGCAAAGCACTCTCGCCAATAAAGTGGTAACGGCGACCGCGAAGAAATCTTAGAGACGAATTTCGAAATACTATTAGCATATTTTTAGCGTTAATTCCATGTAAACCGCGACTCTCCTAGATGGTACTTTTCTCGTTTTAAGGTCCATCAGACCTGTTTGATAGAGATAAAAACATGTATCTATATATTTTATACACGTATATATTCCACAACACTACAGAAATTTGTAAAGTTTAGTGAAAATGTAGTGAAACTTCTACTGGATTGTCAGTAGAAAAATGATATGTAAACGGTAAGAGTTCTCGAAATTTTTCAACAAAGTACGAGACATAAATTATTATTTACAAGAACTCATCTATGTATATATAAGGAAAAATTGTATATTTCGTATAAAATAATGTATAATTATGTGCATATGAAATAAAGTAACATGCAACAATATGCAAATATAGAAGAAGAAAATGATTGTACGAAGTTTATTATAGTGATATAATATAGCGATAATACTTTCTTAAAGCGTTAGTGCTTTATGAGCGGAAATAAAATTTATTCTATTATAATCAGTTGTATCTAAAAAAATATCTCGCGAATCACAGTATAGAGAATAAATGTATATTTAAGTAAGTGAGGAAACACTCATTATACAAAAGATCCTATTATATATCGATAATATATGTAATCTAGATAATCGATGATAAACTTATAGAGTGCATAAACAATCATATTGCAATAAACTGCAGCTCATTTAGAATATCAGCTCTAATTATTATGTTTTTTTTTAAATTTATAACTTTATTTTTACAAGACATTTTCGTAAACTAGAAAAGTAACAAAGGTAAAAATGGGTATTATATGGAAAAAGAAATGAATGTTACTGATCGTATAAGCGTTATTATTATATAAGCATTCTTTAATCTCCTCTTCGTTTTTTTTAAAGGTTGCTATTAAAAAAATAAAGATTAACATATCTCATATTTATTGATATATTGAAACTATTGCAAACATAATTTATATTCAATGAGTAAAATTTAAATATCTCGATTGCCTGCTTTCAATTAAATATTAAATTAATAATTATTACTATTAATTAAAATTTAAACTAATTGGGAGCAAAAAATGTGGAACGCTTCACGATTTTGCGTGTCATCCTTGCGCAGGGGCCATGCTAATCTTCTCTGTATCGTTCCAATTTTAGTATATGTACTGCCGAAGCAAGTACAAACATACAGCTCGAAGAAATTCCTTATAAACTAAAGCATCTTTGCAAGTATACTTGCGAGAAACTAAAAATGACAATCAAATCGCCGTCTAGTGGTGAAACTATGTACTACATTAGAGAGATGCTGAATGATTTTTGTACATGGCGCGTTTGAATGAGAATTCGAATATATAGTATATTTTTGTTATATTATTAACAAGAATTAGTAAGAAAAATGTACAAAATAATTATAACGATGACGTATATTTGTGCGTTTTAATTTAATTAAGATATATACGCGATCGGAGTCCTACCTTTGATTAACCTATAACGTATTTAATGTTTTGTATTCATACTAATATCACCAGTGCTAATATTTTGTCATTTAACATATACAATGACCAAATGCGCGTACTTTTTGTCGCATAAATCATTAGAGTTCTGTCAACGTTTGAAATTTCTATGTACGAGTAATCGGACATTAAATGCGGTGCGAAAGTTTGCGGACGACAAGCCGGCTATTATTTTAGGGATCGAAACAAGCTGCGACGATACAGGATGCGGAATCGTGGACACTACAGGAAAAATATTGGGCGAGGTGATAAACTCGCAGCATCTTACTCATTTAAAGTAATTGCTATTATCGTATCTCGCGAGCAACGTATATTTGGAAGATTAACATGAGTTCGATACACGTATTTATTTCGCAGTTATAAATGAATTTAATCTATTGATTAAGACCGTATTTAGTTATTACATCAAATACAAATTCATTTCTGTGTATGTTTTATTAAAAAAAAAGTTAAAACTTTATCTAGATTATTTTTAAGATAATTTAAAAGTTGTTTAGCAATGCATTTTAAGTCTAATTGTATTCTTGTTTTTCAGACATGGTGGCATAATACCTACAATCGCCTACGATATGCACAGGCAACAGATTACTACAGTTTGCGAAGATGCGCTGAAATCAGCAAATTTAAGATTAAGAGATATAGATGCTATTGCAACCACAACTAAACCAGGTCTTCCTTTATCACTCGCTGTTGGAAATACCTTTGGTAAATATCTCTCTAGGATCGGTAACAAACCATATATACCAATTCATCATATGGAAGCTCATGCATTAACAACACGAATGGTGCGGAAAGTATGTTGAAAATATAATTGTATATAAAAAAAAAGCATATGTGCTGTACACAGTATGAATTATTCATATAATATTTTATAGGTAGATTTTCCTTTCCTTGTTTTGCTCGTATCAGGTGGCCATAGTTTACTAGCAATCGTTGAAAGCGTAGATAAATTTTATACACTAGGTACTACATTGGATAATGCACCTGGTGAAATTTTTGATAAGGTATATTTGCAAAAAGAAATTTATTACTTATATATATATATATATTATGTTATTATACATATTATATTTTTTCCATTTCAATTCTTTGATAAATTTGAGACTAATTTTGCTTCCAAAAGTTATATGACAAAAGTTTATAGAAGATTCTATATAACGCAAAAAAACAAAAAATCTCTAATGTAATTTAATAACGATTGTAGATTGCTCGCAGACTCAAGCTTGCAAATATACCAGAATTTTCACATATGAGTGGTGGTCAAGCCATAGAGAGTGCAGCGAGCAAAGCGACAGATCCGACTAAATTTATTTTTGAGCCTGTCATGACGAAAAAGAGAGATTGTCAATTTACTTTCGCGGGTACATTAAACAAAAGTTTGATATACATTAACAAACAAGAAAAAGAACATAATGTCGATGGCAGTACAGTGATCCCTGATGTGTATAATCTCTGTGCTGCGCTGCAAATATCTGCTGTAAAGCACATATGTCTCAGAACACAAAGGGCAATGGAATTTATTAATAATCTGAATTTGATACCGCAGGAGAAACGAACTTTGGTATGTTGGTAAGACTACTTGCATCAATTTCTGATTTGTTCTATATATTTATTTAAATGCAGGTAGTATCTGGTGGAGTGGCTTGCAATAATTTCTTAGCAGAAGCTTTAGAAATTGTTTGCTTGGAAAAAAGTTTTAAATTTGTTAGAACTCCTCCCCGATTGTGTAACGACAATGGCATAATGATCGCATGGAATGGCGCGGAGAGGTGGACGGCAAATGTAGGCGTTATCCGAGATAGGGACGAAATTGAAATGGTAACTGTTGAGAAAAAGGCACCACTCGGGGAAAGTTGGATCGAAAGAGTGCAGGATGCAAACATAAAATGTAAATTAGTAAAATTAAAGGGGCTTTTAGATTAAACACTAATTGATACTCAATTTCAATCTCTCATTTGAACCTCTGTATTTTCAATCAATTAACAATCGAGATCATGGCGCACTTTTGATGAGTCATTATTAACAATAGAGTCAGTTTAATTAATTTACAAAACATTTATTTTCTTATGTTATACAAATCTATACAACAGTCGATGTATGTTGTTCGCTTTGCCGCTTTATCCTATGTATCAGTTGAGAGTCCAAGGAATCACCATGCTGAGCGATGTTTTTCCGTTGTTCATATTTATCTAAGATATTTCGTATCCTCTCTTTAATTTCTTCTATCTGCTTTTTATTTTTCGAAATTAAAGACACGGATAAAATATCGTCGATATGTATAGTTTGCTCGGGCCGCATTTCCTCTGGACATGTAGCCACATAGTTAGATAAATTATACATTGCCGGCTTAACTTCTTTGAGGATACTATCAGCATTGTCAGTGTCCATTTTATTGATTATAATCATGGTTGGCATTTTTAATAGGTCTGGTTTGTAAAGTTCAATCTCTTTGTTTAGTAAGACCACAGTTTCCAAACAGGATCTACGTTTATATTTAGGCGACAATTGAAAACCTTGTATGTCTACGATGAACAGGAGCAGCTTTGTTCTTTCGATATGCTTCAAGAATTTGTGACCCATTCCGATATTCATATGCGCACCCTCGATCAGACCTGGTAAGTCCGCAACAGTGATTGTCCTCTCATCTTCATACTTCATGATCCCCAATCTGGGCCTTATAGTAGTAACTGCAAAATATACAATTGCAAAATCTGATCTGTCCCAAATATTAATAAGAGGGCAGGTTTCTTTAAGATAATGTAATGGCATTGAATAAATTAATAGGATTGTGTAGATTAAAATCTTACAGGGATAATTAGCAATTTTAGGTTTAGCTTTTGAAACCGCTGCCAAGAATGTGCTCTTGCCGGCATTGGGAAAGCCGACCAGTCCAACATCAGCGATTAGTTTCAAATCCAGTTTTATCATCTGAGATTCTCCCTTTAATCCGCAGTAACCTGTCTCCTCAGACCCACCCATTCCACCTTTTGCTACCAATAGTTTTGTGTCTTCTTTGTTTAACTCTCCTAAATTTTAAATTATGAAAAAAATGAAAAAATAAGCAATGAGTGTATACAAAACGAACATAATGCTTGAGAAATTATGCTTACCTAGCAATACTCCATTCTGATTATATATCGTAATGCCACGTGGGACTGAAATAACTTTGTCTTGACCAGGTGCACCTATAATTCCTTTGGCCTTACTGTCACTTCCCAAATCCGCTTTGATCCGTTTGCTCTTCAAGGTTTTGACAACGTTCTCCAGGGTAAGTCCATCTTTTGCAATCACGTACACGTTACCTCCTGCTCCTCCGATTCCACCATAGTGAGGTAAGCCAGCTCCTCCTGTGCCTCCCCTGACATGAAGATGTAGTGTGTCGATGAATGTTGAGCGTAGATATTTTCTGGGTAGCTGTAAAAACAAAATGTTTCTTTTGGAAATATGACTCTTCCTATTTAAATATACCGTTCAATAATTTAACAAAAGATATCCACTTTACCTTTTTGACACAACCTAAAATCTGTGTCAAAAATACCATTATAATAAGTGTTATGAGAGATACGTAATTCTCAAATTTATTATTATTTTTTTTTTATATTTTTGCACTTGTCTTTCGAATTATTTAATTTTCTTTATTCATCAATCATATAACATATCATTTTCCTGCAAGAGGTTAAGTCATTGTTGTGCACGCCATATTTAAACACGCTAATTTATCGGATGAGATTACCGATCGAAATTCATCGATATGTATGCAAGATGTAGCTTCTAGATGTCATATTGGTCTTCATTTCGGCCATTTTGTTTAATGCAACTTTGAAAGTGCAAACCGTTTTCTGTTCGTCTTCGGCAATATCCTTGCTTCGATATTCAGAGAAGAATACTTATTAAAGGTATAGTCAGACGCAAAGGATTTTTTCCCTGGCTGGTCCAAATTCTTCCTACGTTAGTGGACCTTATTAAAGATATTGCTATTTTTATTTAACTTTTGAATAATTCATTCCAACAAAAATATGATTTCTTCTCTCTGTCTTTCATTCTTTCCTTGCAGTAGAATGTTTGTTTTTATGTATTTTTATTGTTATTTAATATTATTCATTTGTTTTAATATTTTTAAGTTTGTTTTCTGTATTTATAAGGTTCATATAATTCCCATAATGATAAAATCGGTGATATTAAACAACGTGATGCTAAAATAAACGCGAAGAAAGTCACCGCTCATATATCGCGGCGTAAATATTTTATTGACGCAATCATGATATCTATATAAATTGCAATATTGTTTATCTATATCAAAACAGAGACGCAGCCTTCTTTTTAGAAATATTACAGTATCGAAAAAAAATTGTATACAAATATAATTGTATATAAATAAAAATAAATAAAAAATTGTATATAAATAAAATTGTAATATAAATCCGAGAAGCCAATTCGCGAGAAAGATATTATAAAATAATAAATATGAAAATGACGAGAGGGCAAATTAAAAAAAAATTTCTTCAATACATATACACGTAATATAAGTATTAAAAGTTATTTTCTTTATGTAAGTCACACATAGTATGCGTCGTTGCCTAGTTTAGTTAGCTAAAGTTAACTGAAGTGTTTAACTCTTTGACTTCTTTTACTCTTTGCTTCTAGAAAAATATATACACGCCCTTTCTTGACCGACAAAATGAGCCGCAGTTTACGGGTCGTAGCAGTTCTCCAGGAGCCGATCGGATCCGCGATGTATATCCTGGGGTCAAGTGATACCAATTACGAGAAGGATTTTGCGGCGGATCAATTGGCGGAGTCGCCAAGGAGGCGGGGTAAGAGTGACCATCTCTCTCTCATCTCGACGGAGGCTCGTCTAAACGGCAAAGATGCACGTATACGCCAAGCGTTAAAATTAAATCTAGCCAGAGGCCGTCGACTACGACGTCCACGACGGCGACGTCGCGGCGAGTCGGCGCGTCCTCTAGCTCAGTCTCAAGAGCACACCCCGGCTGCACGGATGCGTCCCGATTGCCAATCGATCTAGCATCCCCCGTCGCGACTCTTTCTCTTTTTCTCTCTTTTTCTTGCGAAGCATCACCGAATCCCGGTAGTCTCCATTGATCGTCCGAAGATTCCTCGCGAGACGTCGGATTCGCGTGTACTCGAATTTCTTGACCACCTTTACCTGACATCTTCGCCGAGGTAATCTTTCGTCAAGATCCAAGTTTATGATTATCTCTCAAACAGAATCTAAGGATTATCGCTTGTATGATACAGTACAATTTCGTCATTATTTATTTAATTATGTTTACTTTAATCGTAGAGCTTCGCTTTTCTCATTACTTAACGATATTGTCTTTCATCGTTGAAATTACCTCATATAGCACGGATATTCATAATGAATATTCAGGTCTAAAGTCATATGTAGGATTAACTAGACGCTGTGTAGAATTTAAACGCCAATATCATTGTTTGCCGTCCATAACTAGATCCGGTCGAGAGAGAATTCGACTACGTAATCACCGAAAAACGCGTAGTGTAAATTTTTCAATGTTCTCTCGTATAAGTTTAGATTTTATGAGATTTTACCGTGTATCTTGTGTTTAATTATTGTGACTCCATTTATACGAATCAGACTCACGTTAGAGATAAAAAATGCCTTTTTTTTTAATAAAAAATGCGATTACGCGTACGAATGTGATAGCAATATTTTGAAATCGCAAAATCGATCTGGCGAAGCAATCGTCTGATCGTTCCTGAATGGTTGTGGCATCAGAAGAGGAACACGCGGGTGCGAGAAGTCTGTGTCATCGGGTTACTAGCCTTGATCACCTGCCAAATACTTGACAGGGAAAGCGTACCGTTGTCGTTGCTACTCGTGCTAATTTTACATACGACGCAGAAAATTACGAAAATTGACAGTAATGGAACGGAGGATCCTCGTGACAATATCATCACCAGTTTGTTGTTTTTAAAGTATTTTTAATCGCGCAAATTTACTTATCGAAAAATATAATAGCGGTCGCATATGCAGACTTTTAGAAATATATTCATATACAGATGTGTGCTTTTAATTTTTTTATAAATTCTTTCTTTTTTTCATACATACACGGAAAAAAAATAACAATTTGAATTTAGTAAAGAATTTTTTTTATATATAAGATACATATAAAAAATAAAATATATGTGTAAAATACATATAAAATATATGTATAAAATACATATAAAAAATAAAATATATATACATTCGCTTATATATATTTTATATATAAAAAAATTCTCTCTGTTTAATTCAATTTTTTGTTTTTATCTTCTTTTTTCTGAAAAAAAAGAAAAGAGAGAGTTCAAATTTATAAAAAAATATATATGAGCAATCTTTATGAATTATATGATCTTTTTTCTGATGTATTGGTATTTTTTACAGATGCAAGGAGAAGACGATGATTTTGGTGAGGGCTACACCGCGGAATCGCATCCGCTGAGGCCGACGCATCTCATGGTTCCGCTCGGTGGACGTTCTGATTCTCGTGCACCCAGTATCAGTAGCAGCGTCAGTGACCTCGATGTTCCGATATACAGCAGAGAGACCACTATACCGCTCTCAGCGAGAAAGGTAAGCTCTCATCGCGATACATTCATTGAATGGGCGGAAAGTCCGTTGCTTTGCGTGAGATTAAATATACGTTCCTCGCGCTCCGTAATCAAACATTATGCAAATTAAATGAATGTAAAAAAATTGCGGAATCCGTCACGATAAAACATCGCTATGATGCGATTTCAATTTTTTATAAGTGAAGATATCATTACTCAAAGTACAACGTACGTAGTATTTGCGGTATTCCCTTTCAATAGTTTGTGTGTTTCAATCCTTATTAAGATTCAGTTTTACTTATTTATAGCAGAGAAATAACGTGCACACATTACAAAGTAATAGCATTTTATGACATATGTATGAATACATATATTGTAAAATATTTCCTTGTTTTCTGAAAAACAAGAATTTTCAGATAATGTTCTAAAAATAGTTGAAGTAAGAACTGCTTAAGCTTAATGATAGAAATTCGGGAACATTATTTAATCAGAAAATACATGCTTATTATATCAAAATATGTCATAGAAAGACTTGTACACTTTTAGGCGCCAGATGATATACATACATATTTTGCACAGAGCGCCGAACCGAGAATTGAAAATGGATGTATATATATCGAAAAATGCGTTAGCGGGCAAAACATCCTATTTTTAAGGCGATGTCGAAATCGTGGTTATTCAAGATCAGGTAGGCGGATATCTCACGCGCGCACATTTCGCGGACGCTACAAGTGCGATAGAAGATCCGCGTGTTGGTTTAATTTTATTTACTAAATTTCTCGTGTTCACGAGACACGTGTAATACATTATACGCAAGTATAGCACGCGTTTATAGCACACTACTTTAACGTGTGTAATCTATTAGAATTTCGATGATATTCCTCTCTTGCATCAATATTGTCTGTGATTTTAAAAACTTGTCATTTCTCTGTCTCATTATTGATTGTCCCTGCGCGCAATTTATCGCGACTTTTATTGTAGATTATCAGAGAGACATTCTATGTCTATTCATTTTTTAGGGTAAGACCAATTCTAAAAAATATATTAATTAGCGTGAGCACGAAATAAAATAAGGGAAGCATATTTTTTTTCAAACGAATAAGATCGCGACTTCTCGTGATTACACTTTGTCATCTATAGAAAACATCCGTTAAACATTGTCAATTGTTTTAATAGATGTGTAAACACGCGCTCGCGTACATTGCGCTCAGGAATTTTCCGGGAGTATAGTCCGGCATTGAGATGATTATCAAGTCAGACTCTTGGTAAGGATTCGCATGCGTCTCGCGTAATAATTTTTTTCACTATATAAAATAAATCCATTCTTACATTTTTCTCTACATGTTCCTCTTTGGATTTGATAACGTAATCGTCATTTTCCGCGTCATTTAACGCGTCGATCGTGTAATTATTGGAGAATTTTGCCGCTTTTTTCATTTCGAATTTCACGTTTTAACAATTCTCGTCCAGTTCCAGATCCTCATCGTTTGATGAGGATCTCAGTGAGTAATCTCAATTCTTTTAATGATTCGTACATGCTATTTTTACTTTCTCGCTCTTCGAAGAAGGAGATTGCGCGATTAATCACCAGAAATAAAACCGCAATTAATTGTAAGCGTCCACACGAATCATGTCTCTAATATTATTGCGATCTCTAACGCATCTTACATCACAGTTGATCTGATCCCAGTAACCGCGACTAATACTTTTGTCAATATTCTCATCGTTGCAATCAGTGGCGTAACTAATATATCGAACACATTCACGATTGTTGAAAAATTTGTCGGACTGTTTTCTCTTTTAAGTAACATTCTCTAGGTTTTGAATTATTTTGTGCTTTCATTCAAATTCTGTTAATAAAAAAAATAGGCAACAGATTCTCTCTCCGCGCCCACATGACAAGTCCATTCTTTTTTTCTTATCTCTTTCTATGATATTATCTTATTCTTTTATTTCTCCTTTCTATCCTTCTTTCATTCTTCTTTTTTCTTTTTCATCTTTCTATCGGGTTACGCCACTGGATGCAACGAGACAATCGACGAAGCTTGCCCGCGAGTGACGCAATACGCGGGGCGTGTTATGTACGCGATTGTTGTATTCGCGCGCATTTGACCCGAGTTTAATGGAATGCAAAGCATTCGATTAATATATGCCCCCAGTTGCGTATGGCGGCTAATTAAGCGATGCGTATCACTCGAAAGATATGACGACATTGAAGCTCGATAAAATTTCCGCGCTAATCGTGTGCGAAGGTTACTATTGCCGTTCGTTCTCCGGCATTCGTATATGCGTGTGCAATTTGAAGGAAATAGTTGCGTTTATTCGCGATATTACGCGCGATATTATTCGCGCGTGCCGCGTTGCGTTCGTTCTCAACAGGTGGATTCTCGCGGGTCTACGATGACGTAAGTCCATCATGAACGAACGTATCGATCAAGACAGAAATTCCCAGGGATTTGTTAAGATATACCCGATTTTTTATATATAAATCAACATTTTGTATCGCTTTTAGAGTTTTTTAAAGAATTTTACAGAGATCTCGTCGTCATTTTTATGTTTTACTACTATATTGCATCAGCTATCGTCGTTGTTGAGACAGAGGAACGTAAAGTTGAAAATGATTCATCAAAAGATTAGAATGCACCTTCGTTCTTGAAACTCATGTGACGGCGGAGAACGCTCCGTCGTCGTGGCATTTTATTGGTTGATCCGGTGGGTGTGCGCGGAGGCACGCAATCTGTCCTGTGTCTCTTTCCGGCGCGAGAAGGGAAATCGTCTCGTCTTATCTGGAAAATGCGCCGAGACGTCTCGCTGTAACTGAACTGAGATATTAGCCTATTCACGCGTGCGCGGGTTCGTGTAAAAATAGAAAATTATTACGTGCTCATCGGCAAGCAACTTTGTGCGCGGAAATAAAGATAGCACGCGATTGGCTCTTTTCGGTAGGCGTAAAAAAATTCTCTTGCATATTTTCAGTATTTAAAAAAATTAATATATATATTCCAGTTTTTTTTTCAAGAAACAAAGAGGAGATGGAAAATATATTATGCAAAAAAAAAGAATAGATTTTATAGATTTAATAGGTCTGTCGATTTTAATTTAACTCTTTTCTTGCATTTTCTACGACTTTTCTAGTGTTAGATATTACAATTCTGATTACATTAACTCTGTTTATTTTAACGATTTCGATCATCTTGGAAACTAAACTTCTCTTGGCATCTTGAGCTATTTAATAAAATTTACACGCGCATTTCTTGGATATCGTATATAATTATGAAGATTTTAATTACGCATTATCGTCTTGTGCGATCATATCGATTACAGTCGTTTCCATTCATTCTCATTTAACACGATAGATTGAAAATAAAGAGATTTTTTGATAGATTTATCGAGCATCGATGTCAACGAAGTCGTAAATGTAATAAATTGCCAACTGTTAATACAATTTTATTGGGTTGAGAGTGAAATAGAAAAAAATAGGAAAGCACATACAATCAATCTTTAAAAGATTCTGTGTTATTTTGAAAAAAGAGATACACACAATACACAATTAATTTATTAAGCAGACAAAACAATCTGTTTAGATTATGTCTTTATAGCTCGAATTTATTCTTTGAGATAATTTTGGAATGTCATGATGCATTACGTGTAATCGGTTTATTCGTAATCCCGTAAATCACGCAGCTGAGACTTGAGGAAAGGCATTTTTTTTTTTCTTCAAAGTGTCGCGCCAGCCGCAACATCCGGGATAATAAGATAAATGTGCAGTTTCATTTTAATTTAGTCAATGCAATGATATCGCATCTGTGGCCATGTGCCAGACGATCGCAGACGCACGACGTCATTGGATGCTGGCGCGACCAGCATGAATCTTTTTCACGTGGGACGAGAGACACGCGTGTGCGTGTGCATTTTTATTCCCTCTATATATTTCCTCAAATTGGAAATACGAGTAATATCTTATATCGCCAAGCAACGCAATTTATATCTTCCCTGAGAAACTCGACAGAGCTATTCTCGGAAGATCTTATGTTCGATCTGCCTCTTATCAATGAATATATGTTGATGAGCCGTTACTTACATAATTCTGTTATTGGCAATTATTATCAAGAGCAATCTTTTTCGCGATATGCGAGTTTCTATCGAAAGTTTCATCGCGAAAGAAAAACATTTCGTGTTACAAAAATTACTCCTTATTACATAATATTTAATGTAACACAGTTTCAAAAAAATATGTCCATCGAGAGGTATCATACAGATGTTTTTAGCAAATTTGGAATTAAGCCAATTTTTAATGCTCGCAAAGAGGAGGAGGGAGGTAGAAATGAAAGGAGAAAAGCAATAAACATTTTTCCTTGCTATCATTTGAGACATTAAAGAATTTTCCTAAATAGCATCTCACAGTTTCACCTTTCAAAATGATCAGTAATCCCGCCGTTCGTGACGTCATTGTTTTAACGATCGGCTCAAAATCCGATGAATGACGCAACGATTCAGTCGGCGCGCGCGGGAAGCTTTTCTCCTTTGGACACAGGGGTTGCATAAGGGGGTGAAATATTTATGCGCCTGCGCCGCGAGGTTGGTCGGTCGACGCGCCAGCTGCGTCAACCCCTGTCCGTTGGAGGGTATTAAGGCGCACGAGGATCGAACCGAACGCTCAGAATAGACGAATCCCACCCGTTTCTCACCTGCGTCTCAGAAAGGTGAGTTCGCACATATTTTTGCGCCTGATTATTCGCCGAAAAAAAGAATGGGAATAACGACTACACGTGTGTCGCGGATTTCGTGTGAGATTTTGGGTGGATATGTTAACAGGAATACCTTCGACATATCTTCGCTCGTTCGAGAGTCGCATTGTCAGTCCGTCACGGCCAGTACAATCGTCTTGATTGATTTTATTCGCTCGATTTTAGCGAATTCGAAACCCCGCTTCGTACAAGTCCGGATTAAACGAATTTTTCGGTGCTTGAGACCCGTCTTGATATTCATCAGCATGTGTTCTCCGGATATGATGCTGGAGAA